CCCAGTGGCCTCTCCGTCATTGGTTTAAACGAAGTTGTTGCATGCATACTATTCATAGATAAGTGATTGAGGCTGTTATACTGTAGTGTGCATGTAGTTTATTGTTTCAGCAAACAAAAAAAAAAAACACTGGACATGAACATTCTTTGCTTACATCAATAAGAATGATAAAAGGTTCTTTAAAAGGCAAGAGTTTTTCTTTTGGCTTTGAGTCTTTTTCTGTTCATGTCTTTCCTAAGACATCCACAAATGGTCTTCCTGAGGGTGCTGCTGATGTGATAAGGACGAGCCAACGAGCCACTGTTCATTTCCTGCTCCAGCACTGTACAATCAGAAAGATACACACTTTTATGCATTCACTCGTGGGGACATTCCTTTACCTTACTCGGAGTGTATATACAGAGAGGTGGAAGTATATTTGAAGATGTGGGGGTTTATTGGACATTACTAATACCACAGTGTTCCACAGTCTGAGCAGAGTTTTAAAATCTGACGTGAGCTCTGACCTTTTTATGTGGTTTCATCACAAAAGCTTTCATGTGACATTTGAGTTACCAACTCAGTATCAGGAAAAAAGGACAGTGTCAGACTTGCAAAACAGAACAGCACATTAAACACCGTGATGTGTGCTGCATAGGCCTGTGACATCATCATGCATGTGACGCAATCAGCTGACACAGCAGGTATTCACAGTTGTTTCCCAAAAAACAAACCCACATTACAAATACAAAAATTAATTGATCTTATAAAAACGAACAGGGAGGATACCAGTTGTGTTTCAGTACATGAACCTTGATTTTACAGAGAGAAAGAAAAACATTTTTAACCCACAGTGACTGAAAGCCAACAAAGTTTTCAACATATCCCTGCTGCGGTGAAACATGGCCACATAATAAAGATATGAGTTGTCTGTTTAAATCCATCTCTTAAGCATTATTTGCCCAACTTCTGTCATATCCAGAGAGATACAGATGTCCTTATACTGTATACTGATTAATTGTAAGTGGTAGTTTCTCCTTTTTATCCAAATTTTGTGTGACAAAAGTGAAGACTTACCATTAGTGACTTTGTGACTGTGGTTATTGGTTGGAAACAGGCATGAATTTACAGTACCGTTTGTCCATTTGTGGTCGTCAAACTTCCAGCTATACATTTTACTGTCTTACAGTGATAGTTTGGGTTATTTGACATGGGGTTGTGACAGGTACTCATCTATGGTCAGTGTATTACCTGCAGTGGATTCAGATCAGCTCCCCCCCGGTTTAGAGAAGCAGCCGGGAGCATCCGGCAAAACGTGTTTTAGTCATTTTGAAAAATACTCTGTATTCCTACACACAATTGCACCTACGCCTAGCTCTGTCTGACTCAAACAGACTCTGCAGAGTAATTAACAAGTTCCAAAGGAAAGTGCTGTTTGATGGCAAGATAAAGCGGCAAAAATATTCAATATTTTCAATATAACAAACACTTTGTCATGGTCTCAGCCTGGAGTCTGGGTTTTGGTTTTTTGGACTTTTTTGGACTTTCTTGATTTAGTTTTCTGTGTTTTGGGTATTTCTAGTGTCTAGTTTAGTCTTCCCTGTCTTGTGCTCTATTTCCCTGTGCACTTCCTGTTTTATTTTGTAATTTGTTTCCTTGTGTGTCAGTGTTCTTGCTTCCTGTCTCGGGCCTGATTCTGTGTGGTGATTGTCTGCCCCGCCCTAATGTGTTTCACCTGTGTGCAATCACCCTTGCCTCCCTTGTCTATATAGTCTTTGTGCTCCCCTTTGTCTGGGTCGGTTCGTCTGTTTATCTCTGGGTTTGTCATCATCTGGTCGCATTGCCTGTTCATGTCTGGTTCATCCCCAAGCTGTTCATGTCCGGTTTGTCCTTAGTCTGTTCATGTTGCCTGTTGTCATCCCCTGTGCTTCTCGTGTTTTGGCCTGCTGTTCCTTGTGGTTCCCTGTGCTTGTTTTTTAAGTTCTTTTGTTTAATAAACCTGTCTGCACCGTCTCCCAAGTGTTGGCTGCATTTTGGGTCCACCCCTACTTACCACATACCCTGACACACTTAAACTGATATTAGCTTTATTCTGTAGGCATTTTTTCAAGTGGCTAAAACACGTTTTTGCAGATGGCCCCGTCCACAGCAGTACATCAGTCAGCTTCTGTGACGGTGCTCCTGCTGCTTTTCTAAATGGAGAGTGTGCTGATCTGAATCTAATGCAGGTAATACACTGACTAAAAGAACCTCACACAACCCCACATCAAATAACCTGAACTATCACTTTAAGGTGGAGGAGCAAAATGTTTGTGTCCACACTTGTTTCCACCTAAATTGATTTTCACACATTGTGAAGTTTTTACAAAACAGTTTATGAGCATTCATAAAAGTAGAAACAAAAGTTTCAAACACACACTGAATCTAAATACAAAACAAAAATGTTACTTTCAAGCCTCCTCAATCAGTTCATTAATCACTGACACTGCAGAGGCTCCAGACGAAAAAATATAGTCCGGCAAAAACTTAGTCCTGGATCAAGCAGCTGCCTCATTTTAAGGTACGTTTCATTTTGTTTTAGTTATGTTTCTTCTATTTTTGACTTCATTAAGTTTTGAAAATTCTTCAGATTCTGATTTTACTATTGGTTCCTTATGAAATGATGGCACTTGCTGGGTCCTTCAAAGTTAGATTTCATGAGGAATTATCTCCTGTGTCTTGACACATGTTTAGTAGTGGTGACCTAGACCAGCCATTTTAAGGTTGAGCTTTGCAGAAATAAAAAAAAAAAAAAACTTCCAGGGTCTCCAAGAAAAGATCTGACCCAAAACCATCCAGTACTTTATTTGTCAGTGTTAGGACTTGGGCATCTCTTCGATTTGGACAGGTGATGTCAATTCAGGGTTGTGTGTCCCTCCAAATTGATGACCAGAAGACTGGGCAGACTCGCTGCTGATGGAGTGGAGGGCACAGGAGGCCAGGCTATCACTGCAAATGACTGGATTTTCCCAGAATTCTGTGCAGCTCTGGAGACATGAGGAAAGGTTTTTCTGAACTACCATCATTCCTCTCCAAGTCATCACCTGGTTGGCCGGATAAACGAGTGGATGGAAGAAGGGGAAGCATGGGAGAAAAAGCAGGTATGGATGGACCGAAGGAAAAGGAGGAAGTCAGAGTAATGGTCATTATAAGGATGGGAAGTGGTACAGCAGGATAACAGGGTGATTGTAAATGAAGAGACAAAAAGACAATAAGAGATTAGTGTTTAATAGCCACAAATAAAAGAGACAAACTCAAATCAGTGCAGCCATTTGAATTTTTTTTTTTGTGACTTGCTGAAACAGACTTAACTCAGTTGAAACATCCAACCTTATCATAAGAGGTAAATGTGTAACAAAGATTTAGAAAAGAAAATTCAAGGCACATTAATACATGCTACTGGATGGATGAATTTATCCAAAGCTCTAACACAGTGTTTCTCAAACTTTTTCAGATCAAGGACCACTTAATCACTAAAATAAAACTCACAGACCACCCAACTTTTTCTTGCGTATGGACAGAGTTTTGATTTATCCACAAACCCTGCGGCTCACACACTGCACAGCAACAGGTGTTGCTATTAATGTAGCCTCAGAATTATCACACACAATTAAACACTGGCCGGGTGTCATCAAATGCACCACCAGTCTCAGTTGTGGTGAGTACATTACTATTAAAACTCAACATTTAACACTTGCCTGTTGTGTCTGTTATGTTGGAGGTTTCATTTGATTTACTGTTAACTGACACGGTCTTAATCCTTCGGTCCATGATATTGTCCGTTGTTTGTGTTTTGTAGTTTATAAGCTGCTTATAACTGAAATTTAGCACAATCCAAGGGCAGGATAACTGTTAGCTTCATCCACATTTCCTTTTAAATGTCATACTGATCATATTTGACTGTCATAGCTACGTGAGTAGACAGTGTCACAAAGCAGTCGGTTCAACAGTCCAACAACAAAAGTCCAACAACATTGTAAAACAGCCAGTTCATATAGGCCAAGTAATGTTTGAATTTACATATGAGTTGTTTTAATATAGACAACAACACATATACAATACTCTGTAGTAGGCTTTGTGGTCACTCACAGACAGTTTCAGAAACACTAAATAAAATGATAAAATCTGATATTTTAACTAGTTTACTCACGGACTACAAGGGGTCGCTTGGGAGCCACTGTTGCTCTGTGGACCACACTTTGAGAAAGGCTGCTATAACAATACCTTGAGTTAACCCATTTAAACCCATTGTTATTTTCAGGATAAGTTAACCTACTCAGAAATGCCAGTGGGCTCATCAGAGGTACTATACATTATCTAAGATAGTTTTAATGAAAAACTGAGAGACAGTTTGAAATTGTATGTCTAGCCTGTTTGTCCATAGGTTCCAGTATATCAATATATAAAGGGACAGAAGAGAGTGCCAATCAACCATGTTGAGTGTTAGCAATGTGGAGTAATGTGTTGTCAGTGCCATCATGGATGTGCAGACAACAATCACTGGATTATTTTTGATACTGAAAAAATACTAGATGGAGCCACCACTGACACTGGAAAATATAAATGGACTGATTCTCCTGATATGTATAAACCACCTGTGCATCGTTATCTGAAGGAATGGAAGTGAGAAACATCAACTTGATTGAGGCTTAATATTAAGAACCTCAAATAGTTGCTTGTACACTTGCATATCTGAAATTGCTGCTAGATATTAATTTCAGTTCACCTTCTCACTAGGCTGCATGTTAAGAATATTATCATTCTTTACCAAGTGAACACTAAAAACCCTGTTACGTTATCTTATTTCAACAAATTATTTAAAACTTAATAATGTACTACTGACCATATTATGACCATTGGGGCCTGTTAAACCAGTTTGTTTTCAGTGCTTCAATCTACATGTCCTGATTCATCTCAGAAAACAGTACTGTACTGTACCAAAGGCAATAATGACAGTATTGTACTTACAGAAACAGAGGAAGAGCGTGTCAACACACATGGCATAGACGCTGAAGAAACCATGTGCGATCAGGTAGGCACCTATCACCACAGTCTGAAGTGAGAAACATAGAAGTTAGACATACTGCAGCAGGATCTGCAGCTCTGATCAGATGACAAGAAACCTGAGACATAATCAATGTGACTCAAACAGTAAGTGTTGTTTTTATGAATGTGTCTTAAAAATGTTCTGTATAAATTTTATATATTTGATGTCTTTCCTTGTATTTCCATCTACTTGTTGGTATATAATTTATATTCCTGTGGATTACTGGACAAAAGTAGAGGTTGTGCAGATTGAGGGCGTGTCTCTATATACCAGTAACCTAAAGGCAAGGATTGATATTTGATAATATTGAATATTACAATATTTTCCTCCACATGTGATATTTTTCATAATATCAAAAATAATACAGAAAAATCACAAATATTGCATGGTATATTTGGGGTGGACAGTACTGAGAAGTTAAACTTTGGATATTGCCCATTTTGTGTGTGAGTCTGACCAGCATGGGGACCCAGTAGTAGTTGAGATTAGGCACTTCCTCCTGGATGACAGGGATCTTCTTAGTGAAGAAGAAGAACGCAAACACGCCTAAAACACACACACACACACACACACATACAGAATGAACCACTATATTGCTGATCATTAAACTCCGAGTCATAACTTTACGCAAAAAAATGTATCAAAATGAGTTGCAGGTAAAACATCATCATTGGAAATTGTGATGTGGATCATAAACACACCCGGTGTTCAGACTTCCACCTTGTATTGTTACTCACCAACTCCTCCTGCTATCAGCACTTTGCCCAGAAATAACAGAAAGTCTGTCACTCTGTCCAGAACTGCAACCCTGTAGAGACAGTCAGAAAGCTCATGTGTTAGACACTCATCTAACACATGTTCAAAACACAGTACCAGAGTATTCTCAGCCAGAGAAGGTGGTGCAACTATTATCATAAGAATTTTTTAAAAGTTTTTATTATTTAAAAAAAAAATACAGTTACATACAGTAGGGTGTACATTATGATATTGGCATAAAAATAAAACATATTTAAAAAAAAAACTTCACTGGTTAATAGTTCATCATCAGAGACTTTTGGTCCGATTGATACATTGGTCGGCAAATTGAACTCAGTACAACTCAGTGACATCACCACAGTCTGAAATCACTTTGAAAATGAGACTTAAATACCAAAGTTGTGCCCAAAAACAGCACAATAAACAAAACTCTGTTGAATTCACTGTCAAACTCCCAGGTTAACATATATAGGTATATTTGGAGGTCAATCCTGTCAGCCGTGAAGGATGCAGTCTGTCGGAGGTAACTGGTCAGTTAGATGGTCGTTGGTAGTTCAGACAGCTACCAACAGTGTTGGCAAGATAAGCAGTTAATTTTGTTTGTTATTTCTCCAAGATACCATTTTACATAAGTTATCCATATGAAGTCAGGTGGCCTATACGTATATGCTGAGGTTTTTCTCAGAATCAGAAAAATACATATTTTTTACTTAATTATGTTTTTACATCACAATTTGTTTTTGTGATATGCAGACTCCAACAAAAAATATATGTTAACAGGCACTTTAACATAACTTCCTGTGAAATGTTAGACACACAGAGTCAGTCAGGAAGATTTAGAAGACAACAGCAAGGCTGATGAGGATAAATCAGGCCTACAGACTACATTATGAGGGAGACACCCCGGTGTTAGCATCAGATGAGGGAGAGAGACCACTGTGCACCATCAGTGTGAGGTGAGAGAGAGCCCACGGGTTCATGTGTTGGCGTTATCATCACCAAGTAGTAATTTGATTGTTTTACTCTTTCTATTATTGGTTTCACTGTCTTCTTTCCAATAAGTGTAAATATATTATTTTTTTAAAAAGTGGGTGAAATATTCAATTCTTGTGTGTCAGTTGGGACGTGTGGAGGGCGGGCCCTGTTTCATTTTAGTAATAGCTAATAGCACAAAAATATATCCACACAAAAACCCAGGACACGGAGCTGTCCAGAGAGAATGAGTGGGGCACTGAAAGCACGGACCCTCCTCACCTGACTACGTTTCTCATCAGCAGGCAGAAGGCTTCTCTGGCTGAGGTGCAGAAGTTCTTACCATAGATCGCCACCTGGTGTAGAAGAGACAACACACAGCTATCACAACAACCTTGGACAGTCCATAGCAAGTAGGCAAACTACTCACACTTAAAAAGTAGCACATTAAAGCAGCTCACCATGATGTAGGCGTTATGGTTCATGTAGCGTAAGAACTTCTCCAAACACCAGAAACAGCATTTCAGACAGCACAGTATGAACCTGGACACACTGTTGTCAACACCTACAGGACAAACATGTACAGGATCAGAGGTCTTTACAACAAAGCAGGATCTGAGGTTATCCAGGTAACTTCAGGTTTAACTCTTGAAGATTCTTCACTTGTTACCGGGGTAACACCGTGGTAACTTGAGCTAAACTCCTAACCTGCTTTGGATCTGATCAAAACCTGTCAACAGCCAAACTACTGACCAATCAAATCACTGGAAAAAACAGAGTCATCATTCCTACAGGATCCCGACAGGTACAAAAGAGTTAGACTTACAATAAAGTGTCAGATAATAATTATCAGTAGATATTTGTATAGATCAGTGGATGTTTTGCTGTTTGAGTCTTTCCATGTGTTACTCTGGTTTTAAAACAGAGCCTCTAACAAACAGAGGAGAGTTTATCACTAAATAATTACATAATAACTATTGTAGCTTCATTTGACATGAACACAGACTCTTTAATCGACAGGATTCCTGACAGTGACGAAGCTTTTACTCTCTTCTTTATCACTGCAGCTCAGAACAATATGAGGAGAAATGGCAACTAAACCAACAATGATCCACACACTGTTCACTGTTCCATGATTAGAAATAAACATTTCAGACTGACTCATCAGACATGAACTACTTCTCTCCTCTTTTCTTTCTCTCCTCTCTGCAGCAGAAACAGTCTGACATTAACTTTAACTGTTTTATCTGCTTCATGATCATAACAGTTTGTTCTTCATCAGACAAAAGAGTGAAAATACTGAGAAAGAAACTTCATGATAATTCATGCACCTGTTTACAATATATCCTTAATCTGACCTTAATGATTAAAAATGATTTGGTTGGTTTCCTTTTTCTTCCAGTCATGATCATATTGTTTATATTTCATCTTGTTGAATATCTCTTTTTGACATTGATATGACTGAGTTTACAGGCAAGTATCAGTGTGTCTTCTCATATCATATCAGGTACTTTATTCATGGTTCAGACGATGTTGCTTATAATGAATAACTCTGCCTCTTTCACATGAACGAGCTCGTAACCGGACAGGTAAACCCAGGCTTAAGTGAGCCAGTTGATAACCTGCTTCATTATACAGGTTATCAGGGCGGACAATGTTAGGTTCAGTGAAGCCAGATAACTAAAAGTTATCCTGGATATGTTGAACTTGCTTCATAGAACAGGCCTCAGTGTAGTGATAGTAGTAAGGAAGTAAGGAGGAACTGTGTGATAGTGTTTGTGTGTATGTAAACCTCTTAGTTTCTGCTCCAGGTACTCCAGTATGATCCGCAGAAGTTGGACGACTGAAAGAATTAGAGCTCCAAAGGCCAAAGACCCTGTGTGATACCTGCAGAGACAGAGGAAGAGCTCAGTACATTGTTACACACAAGCCTCTCTGTTGTATATTTCCAACTTTGGATAAAAGACAAAACAGGATCTCAGATTCGGTCCTCAGAGTATCTCCTGACCTGATGGTCCTGCTGAAGGATGAGAAAAGAGGACATGGCGGGATATCCTGAGGCTTCCTCTTGGCCCAGTAGTAGCTAGCAAACGTCCCAGCCAGGGTGCACTGCTCCAGGGCCAAGCTGAAGTTGACCAACCAAAGGAAGACCAGTAGGTTGGAGAGCTGCAACAGGAAGAGGTAGCGGTGGTAGGGCGTCTCCCCACCATAGAAGCCAAACAAACACTGAGACCCCAGACACAACGCTGACCTGGAGATGTTGGTTCTGTTGAAGGTCTGAGGGAGAGAACAGAGAGACAGTCATTACATCTTTGAGCAGGTTTGAGCAGTTTGTGCAACATGAATCTCAGTCTACACAATATATAAATGATATATTAATAAATGTGGTTGTGTGTTATATTAATGTGAAGGGTTGCACAATATATACAGGTATACATTTAAAATATATTGGTTATGTCAGTTAGAATAATAAACTAATGTCAGTTAGTAAAATTTTGGTTTTAGAAACAGAACAATCCTAATACTTTTACCTACATTTTTTTTCCTCAGGTGAGGTGACACATTTCTGAATTTTTATTTATTTATTATTTTTTGGGTATTTTATGTATTTTATGTCTTTAGTAAACTGTAGATGGTAGAGATACAGATTGATGTTTTGTTAAATCAACTAATAAATGAGGAAATTCTCTAACTACTAAGTATTTTATTATACAGTGCTGCAGGAATGAGCCTAAAACCCAGAGAGAAGTTGCATTTTAGCTCCTCCTGTTCCCTGGTCCTGAAGTCTGTGGTTCTTTGAATGTGTTTTTGTTAAGATGGCTGAAATAAGGTCTGTGGTTAACACAAGTTCAAGACATTTTCCCGTTTTATTCTACAACATAAAATACGTCAGTAAATACTCCAGTCCTGATTTCTTGAAGCTTTTACGTCTGTTAAAAAAGGCCGGCTGCTAACAAGTGTGTAAATGAGACTACAGAGGTTGTCGGGGACGTTTAACATCATCATCACGTTGAACATGAAAACTGATCTACTCACCAGTCCATCTTTACAGCCTCGAGTTTATACAAACTGTCACTAACTGTGTGAGAGGAAAGGCTTTTGTAGGAGAGGTCAGAGCTAAAGCAAACTACAAGGTGAAGTTTAGTGGTGGAGACGCTGTCAATGGAAAAATCCCATTGACTGGGGTTGGGCTACAAAAATATGTCATCCGTGCAGCTCTGTATTTGACAACAATCCCAATGTGTATTCGGTGAATGAAGGGTTAATGTCAGTATGCTTCAGAAAAAGTGCTCAGGTCCTCCACCAGCATCTGAAACTCTTCATTTTGGCACCTGACTTTGATTTAGTTTCAATCTTTTTACAGAAGTGTGTATTATTTTTGTCAAACTGCAGTTATTTTTTATGCAATAAAAACTAAAGACGATGAAGTTTAGTTTTCATCAGTGACATTTAGACTTTATATACTGTATATAGCATTTTGAGGCTGGTTATAGGTGCCGTTCTTGGCTGTTGTGAGGTTCAGTTACTTGTTGACACACACAGATGGTCTGTCCTCAGCTGGATGAAACTCTCTGTCGGAACAGAGCCACTCAGTCTCATCTAATCTAATCTAGTCTCTTGTCTTTGTCAAGAAGCAGCAAGTCATTCAGAGGCTGGATTTACTCACTTGACTGTCTGGCTTTAGCTTGAGAGGAGAAGGACAGTGATATTTCTTTAATCAACATCAGCAGCAACTGAAAGGACCATTAACACTAAATCTATTTCCACAGCACCTGAAAAAGTTACATTAGTTTACCTGGTTATAAATCACAGTGCTGCCTATTTGTCCTGACTGTTTTGTTGCTGCTTCTTGTCTCATTCTCAGTGGATTATAGATGAATTTACTCCATAAATCTGTTTCTTCCAAGAGCCAGTAACATCAGATAACATTACTGACAGAGACAGAGCTTTAGCTTCTTATGAACACCAGCGCAACAGGTCGAACAGCTAAATCAACTTCTGGACAAAAGGTATTTTAGATGGCAGAGGAAACTGTTGCTGCAGATACATGTAGGTTGTTGAATAGGACTTTGCACTTAAACAGTAAAAAGTTGATTTGTCCTTTTGTCTTTCACTATCTGTTTTGAGAAAAAATGTAAAATGTTTCTTCAAAGTTCTTGTCTCCAAATATTTTAGTCAAATTTTTCTTGTCTTTTAACATAGTTTTTGTCAATGAAATGAACACTGGTCTGAAACCCCTCCCTCATCACATCCTTCCAACACCAGGCTGCATCCAACAAATTTGGTAACTTTCCAAAACAAATCCCATTTATACAGCAATGTCTCTGCAGGTGTCTGCAGGTGTGGAGGAGGGCAGGGTTACCTTTGAAGGGACTGTCTGAAAATGTGCACCATTATCTTCCGTTTGAAGTACTCTGTCTGTGCCCAGCTGTCTCAGTTAGTGTTTAGCCAACACTTCGGTCGATTCAGGTTTGGACATGGTGAAATCTACAGTGCCTCTTGTACAGACTCAGATTGTTCTCAGAACATGTTGAGCAGACAACTTAGAGGGATATTTACTAAGTGTATCACAATTTACCATCAGATAAAGTTAGCACCAGCCCACACAAATAGTTATCAGTTGCTTTGTGTCATTTTGTGTTTTACTAATATGGAGAAACGCTGTTTGACTGTTCGGAGCCCCAAAAGGACCTAAAACTTTTGTCAATACACTCACTCCTAAATATGATGGACAATGTTATCATGACAAAAAAACAGAAGAAGACATTAATGAAAGACTAAACTGTACCTCAGGGTTGCAGGTGCTGTTGGCGTAGGGGCAGCTCACATTAGGGGACATGACTTTGTAGATGGCTTCACCTGAAGATGCGAGGTACCTGGTTTCACAGTGCTGGTTAAAGACACATATGTATATAATGATATAGGTAATTCATAAAATTTCTAAGTTATATTTTTTTGGGTATTTTTGAGTTTATTTGGACAGTACAGTGAGAGATAGACAGGTATTTCAGGGAGAGAGAGAGGTAATGACATGCAGCGAAGGGCCGTGGGTCGGACTCAAGCCCATGGCCGCTGCCTTTAGGAGGAACCCCAATTCATATATACATTTTAACGTGAGCTCTGAAAGTACAAAGAGTTGTTTCTCTTCATGTGACCTCTGTGAAGGATACACAGCTGTGACCGCCCAGTAGGAGATGCAGACAGTCAACAAGAGGAAGGTGACGACTGGAAAGAACAGCGTGGACATGATGTGACTGATGGCTCTGCAACAACAGAAGAATCGTAAGACATAAGCAACTGTCTTTTTTTTTTTTTTCAATTATAGTATTCTGAAGGACAGTTGTATGGAGGTTTATTGCTGCCCCGCCAGAAAAAGAAAAACAGATCAGTATCATGTTACAATGTTATAATCATTAACACGGTATTACAACATACAAACTTATCAAGAATATACCAAGAAACTTTTCTTGGTTTAACAACGTTATAACAACATACTATTTCTTCTATCTTTATTTCCCTGTTTTAACATGATAAGCTTGTATGTCCTAATAACGTGAAAATATCTCATGTGAAAAATATCGTTATAACAATAAACTTTTCACGTTATAACATGATCCTGATCTGTTTTTCTTTTTCTGGCGGCACTATGCTTCCATACAATCTAGTTTGTCATGAGTGTCTTTGCTGTTTGCTCTTCCTCTGTCTCATACTTGCTGGCCTCTCTGAGCAGGGCGATGGCCACTTGGACTCTTCTCCTTAAGAAAAGCAACATCACCAAGATGAAGGCTTCTATCGCTCCCATGGACACCACTGACAAAACAACAAACAACACTTCTCATTCTTCATACAGTACTTTCAGAGCCAAGGCAGCTGCAGGTTCATTTGTTGAATTATTGCATCAGCCTAAGGATGTTCTTTAATTTTACAATTTTTTCATATTTTATTATTATCACCATTTTTTTCCTCTTCATCCTTTTAAAAATGTAACACAGTAACATTTACTCGCTCGTTCATTTTAACTTATGTTTTTTACATTTTGACAAAAGTACAATTTTTACCTCTACTTGAGTAAACTTTTTTAAAGTAACAGATGTATAAGCCACCACCAGTCACAAGTTTTACAACACCTCAGCTGTTATTTAAATTTGAATAATTCACCATCTCAGTGTTTGTGAAATTAAAGCCTAGAACAAAGTGAATCTAAATGTCATACAGAGAAAATCAAATATTGTTCAGAAAGTTGGTCTCAACTCTGTTGCAGAAGTTTCAACTAATATGTGTCACTTCTGTCCAGTTCATCCCAGACCAGCTCCATAGGTTCAGGTCTGGAGACTGTGCTGGTTTTGTTCTTCTAATGTTGTGGCTCATGATGTTGCTGTAGGATGAAGCCCTGACCAACCAGTCCGTCTTCCTCTGGTCCTGGTCTATCCCTCTCTACTCTGACAGCAGTATACAGTCTACTTCCTGCAGCACGCTGTTGTCATGGTGATGATCAGAAGGTGTACTGACAGTTTGTTTCCATCAACCTGGAGGAAGTGTTTCATTAACTTTCAAGGCTTCATTTATTTACTAAGTTCACCAGTTTCTTCATCTCTGAAGAAACATTTACCACTGAGCTTTGTACTATTTAAGGTTATTCACTGCACCTGAGTTACTGGTATTTCAATAACAACTGGAAATTTGGTTGTGATTTGGTTGTAAAACTTTTGGCCGGTAGTATTGGTAGGAAGACACCATCAAATTCCCTGTGAAATTGCACTAAACTTACATAATATGATCCATGTCTGTCTGAGCTGTAGGTAGACCTGCAGGTCAGTCTGCAAACCGACTTCTACAATGGCAACATCAGAGCCTGGTCTGTGTCTGAGCTGGGACCACTCCATGGAGCAGTACCACATACCTGTGCACACACATACACACATTCAATGAGGAACTTGTATAATATTATATTACTATAATACTAACAGGAGGCTTCAGAAACATCTTCACTCTTTGTTCCATTATTTCTTTCATCACTTCAGATCATTTCTCTGCCGTCACCTCCAGTGACTCACAGCAGCAGAGGGAGAGCTGATGAGTGAGAATGGTGATTCCGGTTGAAGTCCATTTAAAACAAGGTTCAGTCCTGAGTACTCACCGTATGCCAGCAGCAGTATGACAGTGATGATGGTCGTCCACAACAGTAACCCAGCTGTGAACCTCAGCAGCAGGATGAAGACCAGACTCACAGCCAGGGCTATCAGCAGACCTCTGTCACGGTGTCACAGGGAAGAACAACACGAAAGCGACGCTTTAAATCAAACCTGTGTCAACTCTACTGTGGAGCCACAGGCAGGTACTACAGGGTAATGGTGAGTGTTAAAACGGAGTGTGATAGTAGAGAACAAGGGTGTAACACGAAGCTGGGATCTGTATCTGTACCTGTACCTGTCAGCCTCACAACAGTCTGATATCTGTATTCATATTGAAACTGGAATGGGGCGGAGCCTAAATCAGGTGAGGCCACAAGTTTAACTTCAGCCACATTTCTTTATTTTCTGTTTGAAATTGTTTTACATTGTTGTTTCTCCTCACATGTTTGTGATTGATGTTTACTTCCAAAAAACTTTGCTGTTATTTGTTTAGATGTAATGTGTCATTTTAAGGACTCTGTTATTATTTATATATAAAAATAATAATAAAACCAGATAATACATTTGAACTACAATATGCAATATCTGGAAATCAAGCTAGTGCTAGCCTGACAGATGTGTTGTACACAATATGTTAACTGAACTCCTGAAACGATGCGTTCATTTCTCAGTTCAGTTGTGACTACAAAACACACAGTGAACGTGTGTGTAGCTGAGTAGAAACGAATCTTGTTGAATGTTGCAGATGTCTGTTCAGAGCGCCTTATCTCTTTATATCTGAATAATGTGTTTGTATTCACTTATAGAGAGGAGTAAAAAATCTGTGAACTGAATCATAAATGTTATTTCACATTGGACGAGGCCAGCTTCTCTTGTTTGCTGTAGTATTCATTTGCTGTTACCATGACAACCATGGGAGTAAAATCTTAAGGATCTCAACTTTAACCTGTGACCAACTTCTTTAATAAAATAAACTTGAAGCATTAGTGGACCATCAGGTCTAATATTTAATCAAGTAAATTTATCGCGGGTGTTTTTCAGAGACAAAGTGGCAAGTGACAGTGACGACAGAGAAACCGACACCAAGTATGTTTGAGACCAGATCAGATGTTTTTCTGTGTGTTGTTGTACTTACATGAGTATCCATGACCATGACTTGGCATAATCTTCCATTATCTTCACACCCAGCTCCTTAGTGTCCACTAGTCCCGTTATACCCCTGCAGAGGAAAGACAGAAGAGTTCATGTGTAGACAAAGGCTGAAATCCAACTAGAGATTAAAAGGGTCTGGAACAGAGAGGAGACAGAGACAGGTCCCACTGATGTTATTTCAAACACTTTCAAAAGATGCAGAGATACGCCATGTTTTTAGGATCTGTGTACATCAGCTGGATGTTAACACTCCACATTGGACGTTAACACTCTACTGTTTTTTCAATTGCTGATCTGAATTTCATATTTAGGAATAATTTGCAGTGTAACATAAAAACAGCTAAAAAAAAATGTTAAAGGTATAAAAAGAAGAATGGAAACAAGAAATTTGTAGGATGCCAAAACTTAGAAACTACATCCAAATTAAAGATGCTTACTAACAGAATCATATATAAAATTAAATCTGCTGAGAATGCAAAGGTCTTTGTGTGCTCAGTTTAGAACTGGTACTTTACTACTGGCAGATACAAAGGCACTCCTGAAGAGCAACGTTTGTGTGTTTTATGTGATGTTGGGGTTGTTGATGCCATTGCCCTCTGTACTGTGATTTAAGGAAATAATTGTTTAACAAGATTCAGTTGAAGAATCCTGATCTGTTTTGGTTGTCCGATGCTGTTATACTGAGTTGACTTTTTAACGTATACTTTTTTTGTGTAAAAATGTAAAGAGTCTTTGGATAAAGTGACATTGGTTCATTGGTTGGTTCATTTGTGTGAAGTCAGCAAAACACACAAATGTTAAACGTGTAGAAGAAGAGGTGTCAGTACTTGGCAGCATGCTGGAGTTCAGTAACGCTGCGCGGCATCTCCAGAGCATCTTTAAACCTGGTCCTGTTCGCCACAGTCACAGTCCCATTCAGAGTGATGAAGTCTGGTAGACACCTCTGGAGAACTGACACACACACACACACACACACACACACACACACACACACACACACACACACACATGACAGCTGTCAGTAATGTGGTTCCACTGCGTAACTTCTTATTGTTTCATTGTTTTCAGGTCAATAACTGACTCCTGATCAGAGTGTGTACAGTACGGTGGCCCTGAGAGCTCACCTTCACTTCAACTTCAGAAAACAAAGGCAAACAGACGTCAAACATCTTCATCTTCAACACTTGTGCTGCAAATACTCACCACTGCACCACGTCCTGACTGTGATGCACTTGCGTGGATGTATTATAACACATCCATACGCAGTTATTGTTTAATGCTTTTAACTTCAAAAATTCACAATGCATTGAAGAAATACTCACAACACAACAGAAGTGTTTCCAGGGGACACTACACAGTGGGGAGCCTGGCTGGGACGCACCTGGCTGGGCCAGCTCATGTGTTCTCAAACTGATGAAGATGTTCTCTGAAGTTGTTTGTATTTTGTCTGTTTGCATGTGTTTTCTTAAGTTGCAGTGTGTTGAGCTCTCAGGGCCACCGTAGTATTTCCACTACTTACACGTACGCATACTTTTAATATGAGCAGAGCAGATGGACAGGTTATTTGAATGATTTTGGTCAAATGGAGTCTTATATTACCTACTTTTAAATTTAAACACAGTTAAACACATAATCAGTTGAAACTTTGTGTTAGTTGTACGGGACAGAGGTGTGGAATCCTTACATGGTCGGCTGGGTATGATCATGGAGGGACAGTCCTCGTCTCGGAGAACCTGAGACACTGGCTGCAAGAACCAGAGGAGACATGAGGGTTTGAGTAATAACGTGTGTGTGTGTGTGTGTGTGTGTGTGTGTGTGTGTTCTGGTACTCTGTTACTGGACACTACAATGTCTGGCTACACCTTGAGATTCTGTCCAACAAAATCTGAAACAGGATCCACTTTGACTCTTTCTATATTGTATTACTGTACTCTGCTGTACATGACTGTTTTTAACCACAGTTTATTGTGTATACATGTGTTTATTTAATAACTGAGTGTCATGTTTCAGTGTCAGTACCTTGTCAGGGTCATTAAATCCAGGCTTACAGAACTGTTTATAATACTCCCAGTAACTGTTGCTGAGTTTGTGTTGCAGCTGCATCTCAGTGTAGGTGGCAAACCTGTCCGGGCACCGTGACACACACATCTGGAAGAAAACACACACACACGTGTTGATTCCGCTGTTATCCTCCAGAACTGGCTGACAACTGGAAGATTTTCTGTGTGTGCACCGGAGTTGGTCCAGATGTGGAAGTAGCATCTGACAGTCTGCTGTATATGGGCCAGAGTCGGGCCGTGCCACAGGCATATACTGGGCCAGATTTATTTGCAGTTCCAAATATCTTAGATGCATGAACATTGGAATATTGTCATTTCAGTCTTGAAAAAAGAATATCCTGCACAACAACTTGCTGATCATCTGAACTGACGAAGGTCTACAGTGACTTAATCGTTAGGATGATCAATAAATTGTGATGCTGAGCAAGAGCAGTGTTTATTCTTCAAGGCTCTCTGGGTTTCAGAAACATATACTTTTTTCATCGACCATGTAGCCTTTAAGATAATGAGCACTAGACACAATGTGCCACTTTGTACAAGTGTAAAAAGAGCAGGTTAGTGCTCTCTCCTCAGGTTAAAGTGACATGATAACTCAATTGTATTAGTGACTGTGATAACCTGATGCTGTGTTTACTTGTTGGTAGAGTACCTGAGTGGTGGGACACTGTAGGTTGATGAGAATCGCCGGGTTGGCACATTTTAAGATGTTGAAATAGAACAGGATGGGTTTCTTCCTGCAGAAAAAGTCAATATTAAATCACACACATGCAGTTTATCATCAGTCTGTGATGTTCAACAACTCTGAGGTTAAATAATGTTATTTCATTTTTCTCACTCTGCAAGCAAAAGTGATTTTCTCCACATCATGTCTAAGCTTCATGTCCAGCTTCTAAGTCGAGCTCATCAGAAGCCATTCGTCATCACATCCAGATCTTCAGAGACCTCATCATTTCATCACCACCACCTCCACTACTGTCTAGACCCCAGGGGATCTTCTACATCCCCCTTTCTAATACGATGACATCACAACAGGTCTAATTGCCAAAGGCTCTTTCACCATTCACTTTTCCTGTTTTGCACATGGCAATAAAACTTTTTGCTTACTCAAATATTCCTGAGCCTCTCCTGATTGAACTGTTAAAGTACTTTAAATACTCGCTGGCAGCTCAGTCTCACAACCTTGTGTTTGCAGCCTCCTGCTCTAATTAGCAGAATTGTATTTTATTTACACTGATGATCCTGAAGTGTCTGATAGTGCTGAAGGCAGCACTGGTTTCAATTTGATGGAAAAAACTTTAAATTTTGTGTTGAAATATTTCACTAAGTGTAGTCTGGCTGCTGATTTGGACAGTTTATCAACACAGTCAAGTTCTGCTGCACATAACCGTCGCTCAGAGAAGCAGTTAAAGTCATTTAAAAACCCCTTAGTGCCTGATGACTGCAGTTTGTGTCCAAAATCATACTCCTCTTCAGACTCATCTGAACACCCAGACATAAAACACAGATTTTCAAACCCAGTGTGACTCACACTTTCTGACGACGTCATTATCTCTGATGTCCAATACAAATAAACATAAATCCATTTAGAAATTGTGAAGGAGATTTTGGATGTATTATATATCCATGCTTTCATCCTCCGTTGCTGGGGTAACCAAGGTCTTATAGATAAGGAGGTAGAGAAAAGCACAAACTTAGAAAATACTGCCCAAATCTAGTTGTCAAGGATGAGCTGAGTGTGGAAAGGACAAGACACATGTAATGTTGTAGCTAAGAACATGTGACAGTGCAGATTTTTTGTGTTCAATAGCATCTTCACATATGAATGTTTAGGATAAAGTTTAACCTTATATGGAGTAAGGTGTGGTAAAGTGTTGTAACCATGAGAGACCTGGGGTTATAAAGCCACTGTCAGAACAGACGTCTTCAGAACATGGTGAGGCAGGACTGTGGTTCATCTGCTGTCATTATACTGCTCATCACTTCAGCCTGAGCCGTGAACTCAGCTCACAAGAATTTCAATCACAGAAATCAGACAAAAGACACAACATGACAACTCCAGAAGATTTCGGAGAATCAGCCATCACAGTCCAGGGAGCAGCTGTGTGCGGTTGCAGTTGTTTGTTGTTTGCAGTGGTAGTTGTGATCTATAGAATCAAGATGAATCTAGGTTTTGAAAAAATCTTTTGGCCTTTTAAAGTCAGTAGGCTCCTCTGCTGTGCTACTTACTCTGTGTATAATATGAATATTTCTTTATAGGCCTGCAGGTGGCAGTGTAAACAAGAAGAACACACTGTGTGTCTGTTCGGCCTCTTCAGTGTGTGAGGCTCTTTGTCTGTCTGAGTCCTCACACTTTCTCCTTATCACTGTCCTGCAGCCGCTGCATTTATCACTGGAGCTGCTGCAGTTTCTTTGTGGATCAGACACATGGAGATGATGGAGAATCAGATGGTGTCAGGGATAAAGATCAGCTTCAGCTTCACAGACAAGGAGGAGTATGGGTACTACATTAAAACTGTCAAATGCTTGTGGGGCTGTAATATATGTTTGTAAGTATCTGTGACCTGAACACATCAGAACAGCTTGATCAGGTCTGTCCCATGTCAAAGACTGTATGTTATTAGCAGCATGTGGCATCCCATAATCCACTGTACAGTTTGCTGTAACTTGTTAAATGGAGTGTGGACATGGTATTCACAGAGACACAGATACATGGAAGTTATGTGGATATATCTACCATCAACCTGCTGCACCTGCTGTTCAAACTCGTCCCAGTTTTCACTGATGTTTATGCTTTGTTGGCTGTTTGAGGACCACTCTGGTACAGATTCACTCTGACCCTCAGACCCGCTGAAAGACCCAACA